CTGGCAACCAGTTTTGCAAGATTTTCCTCATCTGAGACTGTTTTTCTTTCACTTTTATTCTTGAAGGAATTTTAAATAGTTATAGAATTCTGGGATGACAAAATCTTTGAGCACTTGAAAAAATATTGTTCTACTTCCTCTGGCGTCAATGGTTTCTAATGAGAAGTTTGCATTCATTTAAACTGTTTCCCTATGTGCAATGTGTTATTTTTTTCTTGTTGTTTTCAAGACTTTTTCTTTGTTAATCGTTTTCTTTTTCTATTATTTTTAGCAGCTTGATTATAATGCGCCTGGTCATGGATTCCTTTAGGTTTATCATGTTCGAGTTTGCTGAGCTCCTTGAATCTGTAAGTTTATGCTAAAGTTGGAACAATTAGGCCATTATTTCTTGAAAAAAATTTTTTAATGTGCTGCCCTCTTTCTTTTTCTTTCTGGAATTCTGATGACATTCAGGTTCTTTTGGTTTTGTTCCATAGATTCCTGTGGCTATGCTCACTTAAAGTAACAATTTCTTCCCCCTGTTATTCAGATTGGGTAATTTCAGTTGATCTGTCTTCAAACTCACTGACTGTTTCCATCATTTTTATTCTGCTACTGAGCCCATGCTAATAAGTTTTTTTTTGGTTATTGTGTTTTCCAGCTTTAAAATACCTACTTGGTTCATCTTATATATTTTATTTATTTGCTACCACTTTCTGTTTTTCATTTGTTTCAAGAGTGTATTTATTTTCTAGAGCATTTTTCCCATGGTTTCTTTAATATTTATTTCAGATAATTCCAACATTTGTGTCATCTTGGTATTGGTGTCATCTTGGTATTGATTATATTTTTTGCATGTAAGTTGATGTTTTCCTGGTTTTCCAGAGTGCTAAATAATTGTAGCTTATATCCTGAACATTTTAGTATTATGTTATGAGGTTCTGAGTTTTGTTAAGTACTATAGAGTACAATGAGTTGTTTTTTAAATTTTGGATTTGGAGGTCCACATGTATATTTGTTACATGGACTTGTTGTGTAGTGGTGGGGATTTTGTCTCAGGTAGCCCATTCCCAAAATAGTGGACACTGTGCCCTCTAGGTAGTTTCTGAACCCTAACTCCCCTTTCCCCTTCCCCTTTATTGGTGTCTCCAGTGTCTATTATTTTCATCTTGGTGACTGTTTAGCGCTCCCACATATAAGTAAGAACATGCGGTGTTTGATTTTCTGTTTCTGAGTCAGTTCACTTAGGGTAATGATCTCCAGCTCCATCCATGTTGCTGCAAAGGACATGATTTCATTCTTTTTTATGGCTGTGATATTGAGTTTTAAAATTTTAAGCAAGCAATTGTCCCAGTTGGAATTAGATGGAAAAATTTGATTATTCTTCTTTCGATGTGGTTTTAAGACTTTATAGTGCTATTCAATTTCATCCTATGTGTGTACCACTCAGATGCCAGTCTGTGACCTGAGTGGTCTTCTCTTTCTTAGTCATCATCATTGTCTGGTTGGTATGAGTGCAATGATGCTTACAACTAATTGGTTACAACCAGCTACAGATTTCTTTGTTCCTTCTCCATTGCTTCCCTTAACTAGCCACACACACAAGTACTCATTGCCAACATGGTAGTACTTCAAATTCTGATTTTTTCCCCCAATTTGTCTGCTACTATTTAATTTTCAGAGTCCTCAAATACTCCATGCAGTCTTTCCATGTTTGATGGCATTTTGTGGGAGAAAGAGGAAAGTGTGCTTATTCTATTTTACACAGAATTAGAACCTCATGCTATTTAATTTTTGAAAACTTTTAAATTTTATTGGCTTAAATATATCCTATAATGCTATTTCCATTGTCTCTAGTCTCGTATGCCATATCTCTAAGTAGTTATGTGTTGGATCATTTAATGCTAACATTCATGTTTTGTTCATGTTTTCCATCTTTTTTTTAAAAATCAATTTTGCCACACTTTCTGTAATATTCTCAGCTCTTGTTCTCAAAATTTTTTGTTCACTAATTCTTTAGGTCTGCTCATGTACTTTTTTTTTTTGAACTAATGATTTTTTAGTATTGTTGATTTTATACATTTATTTCTAGACGTTCTATTTGGTTTCTTTTGAAATATGCCCACTCTTTTCTCATATAATTCTGTTCTCTCATTATATATTTTTAAAAGCATTTCCAATCATTTAAACATCTTTATCTTATACTTTCTGTCACTTTTTCCCTGATATTCTGAGTTCATTAGATACCAATGATCTTTTTCTGTGCCTATATGTTTCTTGACTGTCTTTGATGATATTTTGTTCACTTTAATAATAATTATTATTGCTGGACACACTCACTCATGCCTGTAAATCCAGTACTTGTGAGTCTGAGGTAGGCTGATTGTTCAAGTCTAAGAGTTCAAGACCAGCCTGTGCAATATAGTGAAACCTCGTCTCTAAAAAAAAAAAAAAGCCAGGTGTAGTGGTGCATTCCTGTAGTCCCACTTACTCGGGATGCTAAGGTAGAAGGATCACCTGGGCCCAGGAGGTTGAGGCTGCTGTGAGTCATGATCCTTATGATCATGCCACTGCACTCCAGTGTGGGCAACAAAGTGAGATCCTGACTCAAACATCATCATTATTATTATTGTTATTATTATTATTACTCAGTAGGAATTTTTCTCTCATATGACTCTGGAAGCATACAGACACTGAAAAAAGAATTAGTGTCATGGCTCAGAATATCGGGAAAAATGATAGAAAGTATAAGATAAGGATGTTTAAATGATTTGAAACATATTGATAAAATGGAATACTGAGAATACTGCCATCCAGTGAGTAGAGAACAGAAATTCTACTAACCATCCTGCAAGGCACAGGACAGCCCTGACAAAGAATTATCTAACTTCAAAATGTCAGTGGTTCTAAGGTGAAGTACTCCTGTTTAGGTTGAGAAACTCTGCCCTAACTAATACATTGACTTACCTTTGTTATGGTTTTCCACACTTTACACCTTAATTTTATAGAAACAACTCTCCTTCCTCCCCATGCTCATATTTTAATGATTTATATAGTATGTAACTGGGTCAATTAATTACAGTGGTAGGTTCAACTGAAATAATTTTGCATACAAAATATCCGTGTTCTGGAGGGAGCAAAAGTGTGTGTGTGCACTAGAGAAAAAATTACTAGCCACCAGCTTTCAGCATGTCCCAAGTGAGAGTCAGATAAATTTGAGAGTATCCCTAATTCTTTGAGTTGAATACAGATAGGTTAGGAGAACTTCTACATGTAATTATGTGTATATATGTGTATTTGTGTTTTTCTCTCATTTTCTCTTCCAATAGCATTTTAAATAGTAGCATTATTTAAAATTTGTTTTATGTGACTTTTATAGATACTACTCTAACTCCTCTAACTCCCTGATGAATAATTTCCTTTGACTTAATTTAATTATATCAATTTTATTCAGTATAATTTTGCAAATTTGGGAAGTTTCATACAACAATACTTTATCTCATTAAGTACTGGAATATTTCTCACACTTTATGAAATGACAAATAGAATTAAATGGAAAATTTGATAAGGAGAGAGAATTAAAAATTAATTTGAAAGAGCTCCCAAATTCTGAATCTTTTCCCTTAAAAATTCCAAGTCCAAAGCTAAAAATTCTCCTTTCACTATAGTATGACATGGTACATATATAATATATTATATAGAACATATATAATACTATATTATAATATCTATATCTTTTCTATAGATATATACTCTTGCCCTACAGGAGCCTCAGACTACTCAGGTATTTTGGTAGCTGTAACTGTGTAGGATCTAGTTGGAGAACTCAGTATCTACCTGTTTCCATGTAAGGTTAAGAAGCACCATGGATTTGTGTGTGTGTGTGTAGATTTACATTTTAATCTCTTTTGAAACTATTAACTTTTCCAAAATGAAAGTTGAATGTCATTCCTCAAAATTTACCTCAAAATCTTAGGGTTATGAATGTCGTGTCGTTAACCTTGAATGTACTTTTGCCTGCTGATAAATAGATTTCAAATGATCCCACTTTTGTGATCCTCGGCATGCATGGTGAAGGATGGGTAAACCCTGCATGAGTGTGACTCTTCTCTGTGGCCTGGGCTCCTTCTCCAGCTTATTTTTATCTACCATCAATCTATCTATATCATCTATTTACCTGTCTATCATTGTCATCATCATCTTCATCATCGTCATCAACATCATCAATCTATTCACCCTCTATCATCCCTTTTCAGCGTAGGCAGTCACTCTGGTTCTCATCCCCTTGACTCTTGCTGTGTGCTGGTCCTGGAGAACCCCAGCCTTTGGCAGGGGGCGCGCGAGGTCCCGGAGCTGTCCAGCAGTCCCGGCTAAGTTCTCCTCTGCTCTCTCCGCGCCGGGAAGCTCTCCAGCGCCCCTCCCCGGACAGGGAATCTCTCCACTAGGGCTCCCCGGGCTTCCCAGGCTCGCCACCCGTCTCCGCCTGTCTCTCTCCACTTTGTCCAGCTCCACCTCGGGAGTGGAGCGTGCTTGAGTAGCCTTCGTCCGCGCGCCCGGGAGAGGGTGCCCTGCGCCCCCGGGCTGCTCTGGGGCTCCGTGCTCGCGTGTACGCGGGCTTCCCTCTTTTGACTACAGGGCGGGCGAGCACCTCTCGTTCCAGCCTCGCCTCCCGCGGCTGGGTGGTCCTCTCTCTCTCCTTCTGTCTTTCAAGACACGCGCCCGAAATCGAGGGGTGAGCGCGAAGACCGCCCATCAACTTAACACCTTGAATTAGGTCTTTCGATCCCGAGAGGTGATTGGCGTTGCCGGGCCCATCGAGAGAGAGAGGAAGGAGAGCGGAGGCTGCAGCGGCCCGGGGCTCGCTCGACCGGGCTTGGAACCACGCAGCCCGTGCGGGAGAGGGACCGAGCGCGGGGCCTCGCCCTCCACCGCCCCTCCCTTCCCCTCCTCCCCCGCCTTCCCAGCCCGCCCCTCCCTCCCCTGAGGAGCCGTCTCTCCGCGCTTCTCCCGGAGCTCTCTCCATTGTCTCTGCCTTTACAACAGGTTCGGGCGGCGGGGAAGACGGGCGGGACCCGGGCCGCCCCAGCCCGGGTTTTCTTGGGGCCGCCTCCCTCCTCCGGGTGTGCGATTCTTTGGCTGCTTTCAGTCGGCTCGGGAGCGAATCCCCCGGCGGAGCAGCCCCGGGGCGAGTTCGACCCCTCCCTCGGCCCCCCTCCCGGCCCGCGCCGCCGCCTCGGCTCTGCGTGTGGGAATGATGTGCGCATTGGAGGGTCTAAGTTCTTCATGCGCCTGGGGGGGCCTCCCTTTTCTTTCTTAGGCAACGCACTCGTATTAATCCTACTAATTAGTCAATCCGAGGCAGCGACCGGAGAAACAAACGCTATTTTCCCGCTTGATTCCAAGAACCTCTTCGATTTTTATTTTTTATTTTTAAAGAGGGAGACGATGGACTGAGCGGATCCACACCATGGAGTCTCGGGTCTTTCTGAGAACATTCTGTTTGATCTTCGGTCTCGGAGCAGGTGAGTGGCCGCAGAGCTGGGGCGGGGAAAGGAATGGCTCCCGTCTTGGGGCAGCCTGGGCTGGCTGGGGGCGCCTCGCTTTTCCCAGACCCAAAGTAGGTCTGGAGTGGGAAGCTTGGAGTAGGGGTGGGTTTGGGTTTAGATTTTTTCCCCCCCTTGGGTGCTAGCCTTGGAGACGGTGAGGAGGGTCACGCCCCTAGTCCAGGGTCTGAGGACTGAGGGGGAACTTTACGCAGAGAGGGGTTTAAAGTAGGTCATGGAAATGGGACTTGGTGCTCCGCTATTTAAAGCGTGGCTGCTGATCTCAGGTAAGGCTCTCGGCGGCGGGGGAGGGAGTCTCTTCTCGTCTTCAGTTTCCAATATTGTGCTGCCCTGGAGGAAGAGGCTTGCATTTTGATAGAGCTTTTTCTTTTTCTCTCTTTTCTCCCCCCTCCCCCCACCAGTTTGGGGGCTTGGTGTGGACCCCTCCCTGCAGATTGACGTCTTAACAGAGTTAGAACTTGGGGAGTCCACGGCCGGAGTGCGCCAGGTCCCCGGGCTGCATAATGGGACGAAAGCCTTTCTCTTTCAAGGTATGGTCCGGTGTGCAGAGCCCCCACCGTGGTTTCAGTTCCAGTAACCCCGGAGGAGTTGGCCTTGTCGCTCCTCCTAACTTTGTGTTGCTTCGCGGACGACAGAGCCGAGGGGTGGAGGGGTCAATGTGAGGCACTCAGCCCAGTCTCTTTTTAAGTGGTTTGGTTTTTCTCCCCTGCCGCACCCTCCTCCTTCTGAATCTGTACTCTTGCCAGTTCTAATGGATAGTCCCTTAATTACCGAACAGAAAGTCCAATGGCAGATGGTTGATTTTAGAGTCTGGGGAACAATGAATTATAACACAAATGCCTCGTTTGGGTGAAATTGATTTAGGTAGGAAGCAGGATAGCTTAATCTTAGTTTAGACAGTGATCTCTGAAAGTTTCAGGTACAATGGTGCCCTGCTGGGAGGAATTTCTTTATGGGTGCAGCTTTCTGGAAAAATTAACACCTCAGAGTGTTTTTACCTACTGTATATCATAGTCACACTATATTTGAGGCAAGATCCATCATTGAAAGACTGTCATTCTTTCTTCATCGATGACAAGAGAAAAGACATAATATTCTTAAATTTATTTTGAAAAATTTTCAAGTCAATGTTAGTCTAGAAGTGTACCTAGTATCACCATTAATTGTATACTTAACGATTTAAAAACTTTTTTTGAAGTCAGTGGATATAGCTATGCACAAATTTCTACCTTTCAAATTATATTTAAATGTATTTTGCAGTCAGAAGCAAATTCCAATGCAGCAATTCTTCAACTTTGATTTACTGGAGTTTTTGAAGATTGCTTGTTTGTGAAAAAATTCTGTAATGTGAGCTCCTAAAAGGTAGCTAATCATGCACGGGAAGACTAGATTCACATATAGTGAAGTATACATAAAGGTAAAAGAGAAATGGAGTTTGGTTTAACATATCTGATGGACTACAGCATCCTCCCCCACCCCACTCAGATTTTTCTTTTGTGGTTTTGGTGCCATGGTTTCAAAAGAAGTGCAACTTATAGTTACTAAAGAGTTTGATATGCAAAATGGAACCACTTCAGCAGATTGCCACCAAGAAATAGAAATAAAATAAAACCGGAGTATTTCTGTAGTGGTGCTGTTGCCTGATGTAACCAGTATGTGTCACCATGGACAGTAACACCAAAGCTCATAGTTGAAAAAGGAGAAAATTGACATGTGTTGCATTTACTTAACACAAGTTTACTCTTATAAAAAATTAAAATGTAATTTTCTGATTTTAAAAATTGTTATTTAAATTTTCTGCTTAAATTAATGTCTTAATTATGACAAATATGATAATATTTTATTCACTTAAGGGTCTTCTTTGGAGGGTGGGGCTTGGATAGTGAGTTCTTTAAAAACAATGACCAAATTGAATACAGGAAATAAGGCTAGAATGTCAGCAAAATTTCATAGAGTTGACTACAAGTATAATTAGGGTTAAGGTTCTAGTTTTTTGTTTTTAAGTTTTGTTTTGTATTGTTTTGTTTTTATCTCTGATTTTCAATTCTTGTGAACTGGAAACAAAGTTACTTCAGGACTACCAGTATGAGTAACTGGAAAGCTTTACAGACTCTAAGCTTCTAATAAACAAATAATATTCTGATAAACAAGTGGCTCTTAAAATTTCCAAAGGTATTTTAAATTTCGCTAGTGTTTTTTTCTAGCTTCCTCTGAAGAGTGTCTGATCTGTCACAAATAGAAATCTTCAAGACTGTGCATTTTATGTTCTGGTGCTAGAAAATTAGACATTTTCTAAGAAATAGTCTCAAGGGATTAATAACTTTTCTTAGCTAATCATAAAAAAGTGTTTAGTATTTATTCTTATTTAAATTGCCAGCTTCTTCAAGGTAGGCATTGTGTTCCAAATATACGAGGCACAAAAATAGATGCTTTATTTGAATTGTACATAGGTGAATTTTTCTTGTTTCCCGATAGCAAACTCAATATTTAGACGGACTATAGTTTATGAGATTTGAAGATGTAAAATTTCATTTTCTGCCAGATTACGAACTAATCAATTAGCAAATATTTACTGCATGCTGTTTTCTCAGTAAGCATATGTAACTGATGTATTAATTATGCTCTAGTGACTTCTTTTATTCTAAGATTTGGATTCTGAAATTGACAAAAGGCGGACCTTTGACTCTGCCTCACATTCATATTACCTTGGAAGGGTCTTTTCTCTGCTATTAGTATGTAGAAACTGTTGTTAAGAAGTCAGTTTTGAGTCCTGCTGCTTCATTGGGATTTCCATTGGCTTTAGAGAGAAAAACACATTCAGACTCTGAAGATTTTATAGATTCCATTTATAGTGAGTTGGGGGTGCTGCAGTGATTTTGTATGGTGTATAACTTGTCATAGCAGAAATAGTAACAAATTACAAAACCTGTAAGATGCTCTCAGATTTCATATGAACTTATTGTACAGATTTCTTTGTGTTATCAGATGTGTTCTAAATAGATGGAAGATATCTGGAAATATCAAATTTTTCTTACACTAACATAATCATCTTCTCTCTCTTAGCTCCAAAACAAAGAAATCTCAATATATACTTTCCCAATGATTTTTGCTCATTTAATATTGCTTCTCTTTTTGTCAATTTTTCTCTTTGGTCGTTTTGAGATGCATGCAATTCAGTATTTTTGTGAAACTAAATAATTTTTGCAAATTATTGTGAAATATAAATATACTGTTAATATTAGATACATAATGAAAACAAATGGAAAAATATTTTAAGGTCATAACTCCCCCCCCCTTTTTTTTAACCACAACAACAACTATAGTATCACTATAATGGCTTTATTGTTGTGGAAATTTGATTTATAATGGCTTTGGAAACTTAAGTAATGACATACTAAATTAGATTATTCCTTAATAAATGTGGTTTTTGAGCCAGGCACAGTGGCTCAAGCCTGTAATCCCAGCACTTTGGGAGACCGAGGTGAGGGGATTGCCTGGGCCCACGGGTTTGAGACCAGCCTGGGCAACTTGGTGACACCTCATCTCTACAATTAATCAAAAAATTGGGTGGACGTGGTAGCACACACCTGTAGTTCCAGCTACTTGGAAGGCTGAAGTGAAAGGATCGCCAGAACTCAGCAGGTTGATGCTGGGGTGGCCATGAGCATGCCACTGCACTCCAGCCTGGGCGACAGAGTGAGACTCTGACAAAAAAAGAGGGGCTTTTGATCTGTGCCAGTTATAATAATCTTCAAAAAAAAGTGTCCAGGCAATAGTTTGGAATTTATATCAAAAATTTCTAGTCGTTTCTAGTTCATGTGACTCATAGCCACAAACAATACATATTATGCCTTTAAAAAACAAAGAGTGAATATTGTCAGTAAAATACCTATAAAATTAGAAAGATTTCTAAAGTCTTAAGGACGAATGCAGTTACAAATAGAATTTACAAACGTGTTTTTAAGTTTAGTAAATATTTTTCAAGATAATGATCATAATAATGTTCTTTCCTCTGTGTACTTTCATCAGGAATCAGGAATGTGAGTATACAGAAGCACAGTTCTAGGACTTCCTAGCAAGGTTAGCATGATTTTTAGATCTTTGATTTTAGCAGTTCATCTGACCAGGTTCCCAAAGTAGATAGTTTCCTTTGTTCGTTTAATACAATTTCTTCTGAAGTGTTCGCAGACTTTATAATTTCATTAATTCCCATGAGAGAAGTAGATAAAATCAAAGCATATTTTTTTCCAAGTTGGGAATTTGAAAATAAGCTTAGTTGTTATTTTTAAAGAAATTTGAGTTTTTAAAAGGAAAAAATATGTTCATAGGTCTATTCTTATGCCCGTGTTTGAAAGCAAGAATGAAATAAGGCATTTGATAGTGGGCCATGGACTTTAGTAGGCAAAGAAATTTAGTGTTAAGACATGTAGGGTGTCAATGAGTACTTGTCTTCAGTATCATGGTTAATGAGCATCTATGGACTTAGAGGTGATGGCCCCGGGAGCCCCAGTTGAGTCGAATAACACAGTGACTAAGAGATGGGTTAAGAAACCAGATGGTCCATCTTCCTCAGGTAGAATTTCATTAGTTGTTTTACTGTGGTGGTGAAGTTACTTAATTTCTCTGTACCTTTAATTATGAAACAAATGAACACTGCTATGAAGATTAAATTAGTTAATTCTTTCAAATAAATTATTTTTGTTCAATGACTATACTGTTAGATGTTAGGCATATAACAAATGAAGAAGTTAGAACTTAACTTTGCCTTCACAGTACCTTAAACATAGCCACTAAACAACTATGTAGATAATAACTTAATCACCATTATGATGAATTATATGAAGAACAAATAAGGGTATAATGGGAATCTATGTTTTAGTTTGGGAAGTCACAGGCTCAGGGAAACTGTCTTTGAAAAATAATTATTTAAGCTGGTAGCTGAAGAATATGTAAGAGTGGTTTAGAGAAGAGAAGCTGTGGGGATTCAGAGAGGAAGAATAATTTAGGAAAGGAGACTACCTTGAGCAAAGTTCCTGAGCCTGGAATGAAGATGTTGCATTTGAGAAAATGGAAGACGTGTAGAGAAGTGGAAACATAGGAGTTGTAATATGAAATGAAGCAAATGAGGAAAGCAGGGACCAGGTTACATGGTAGGCCATATTAATAGAGTTAACTGAAAATTTATCCTTCTTTTAAGATATATTGTGGTAGGAAGAATAATGATCCCCTACAAATTTTCATGTCTTAATTTTTGGAACCAAAGAATAGGTTTTGTTATATAGCAAGGGTAAATTAAGAGTGCTAATCAACTGACATTAAGATAAGGAGGCTCTCATAGATTATATGGGCAGGCCCTATATAACCAGAATTTGTCCATTTATTCTAGGCTTATTCAATTTGTTGGTATAAAATTGTTCACAGTAGGCCTTATGGTCTTTTGCATTTCTGTGTTATCAGTTGTAATGTCTCCTGTTTCATTTATGACTTTATTTAAGTCTTCTTTTTTTCTTAGTTTTTCTTAGTCTAGTTA